GAAATTCACAGGTTGTGGTTAATTAACGAACAGGAAGGGAAGTGTTGACGATTTTGATGTCTGCGGGAACATTGTTATGCGTCTGGAAATACGTCTCCAATTTCTTTCTGCATCCTTCCCACCATGTGCTTCCTGCGTCGTTTTCACACTGCAAAATTAGTAGCGAGACGAGGAATATACAGTAGTGCGTGGCCAATATTGCAAGTTCCAATGCCCTGTTGGCTTTAAAAGTTTATAATGAGGCATTCTAGTTGCTAAAGTGTAGAACTGAATCGTTTTCTGATGATCTGCACACATCCAGCAATATGCTTAACCTAGTGAATTGGTTAGTTATGTTGGTAAACTCCTGTGAAGTGGTAATTAACTCTGCTGCTATCTTCCAGCGACTTGAATCCGTAATACATTCGACTTCCCGAGAAAGAGGCTGCTTTCAATTGGGAAAGCCGCACCTGTCGGTGTGCCTTTTCATGACAAGAGCAAATCTGCTTGCTAATAACAATGCTGAACCAAGTAATGTAATTCGACACTCAACTAAACGCAATGTTGATATAACTTATTAAAGAAAATGAATCAGTGAAATCTAATCCAGTTTTTTTCAGTTCTCACTAGAATCTAAAAGTTCTTTTCCTGCTCAATAATGAACAAAGTTAGTATTTTTTTCCCACTAGAAGGGCAAATTTTGGAATTAAATATATCCAGCAACCAAAAGTGCAACCAACGTACCTGAAAATTTGACAACATGAGCCGGAATATCTAGTAAGCGAACATTGTGGGGGCGAAAGAGAATACTCACATCTTTCTTATTCTGCCGACAGCAACTTCTTGGGTAATCGCTTTGAAGATTTAAATTGGACAGCCAGTCTTCTGGACTCTCGACACCACAGCACTCAAACTTGAAAAAAGATGAAGTGAAGATAATAAGATGAGCCATAAGTTCATCCAATTTTCAAGGACTTTCGTGGACATGAACCATTATTCTTGCACCTTAATTTGAGCCTGATCCCAAGCGAGTCTAATGGGATCGTTCTTCGTTCCATCGTACTCGAGCAGAGCCTTCATCATGACCGTAACGATGGACTCATTATCTTTGGCTTGGAACACCTCACGATATATCTCGTCCTGAATGAATAAAGAAAATTGGCGATCACGTCGGTGTTAATTTTTTTTTAAAGCCTGGGTTGGAAGGAGGTTCATTAACGAACAGAAAGCGAAGAGTTGCAAGCTCCCATGCCGGCGGAAGCATGCATTCGGAAGTACGTATTCAATTTATTTCTGCATCCTTCTCTCCAAGTGTTTGCTGCTTCACTTTCACACGGCAAAATCTGTCATCAGAAAAAAAAACCGGGAACGAGGCCTCGATCACAAGTCCCTTTACCTACTTTCTATTTCATGGATGAGATATCCTGTCGAAGTGGAGTTCTCACATCTCCCTGATTAAGTCGACAGCAACTTAGTGGGTACCGACCGTCGAGGTTTCTATTAGATAGCCAGTCTAATGCACTCTGGACGCCACAACATTCAAACTTGAAAAGGAAAGAAATGCAAAAGCATATCAATGACTTTCTCAGGAATTCCGCAGACATCAAACAACAGTCTCTCACCGTCCTTTGTGCTTCATCCCAGGCAAGCCTGACCTTATCGTTTGCCAATTCCTTGTACGTTAGCAGAGTTTTTATCATGAGTGTGTCAATGGACTCGTTAGCATTGCCTTGGAACACCTCTCGAAGTATCTCATCCTAAATGGAAAGAAAGTGGATGATCATCAACGATAATTGATATTGGGTGTTTAGGAGTTTGCGGTTCATTAACGAACAGGAATGGAGTTGTTGCAGTTTCCGATTCCTGGGGTAGCATTGCCAGGTGTTTGGAAAAACATCTCAAATTTCTTTTTGCAGCCATCTCTCCATATATTTCCTGCGTCGCTTTCACACTGCAAGTTAATTAACGAGGAAGGAAAGTAACTTCAATGTTTTAATCGCAACGTCATTTGCACAACAATAGTGATGAAATTTTATATAGTAGTTGAAGTTTCAAAATCCATGTAATATAGTCAATGCTGGAAATCATTGTAAAATCGTTTTCACCTTGAAGTGAGACAGGTTCAATATTCTTGTGATGTTCTTGCTGTGCTGAATTGGATTACTGATATGATCATTGAAACTACTCACATCTCTTACATGATTCACCCGACAGCAACTTCGTGGGAATCTACAGTGAAGATTTACATTGTACAGCCAGTCGTCAGGACTTTCCACGCCGCAGCACTCAAACTGGATAAATGAAAAATGACGGATATGGCACTAATGAAATATTGATTACTTTTTCAAAACTTCATTAAAGGACATTATTATGCATTCTCTCACCTTCCTTTGTGCACTATCCCAGGCAAGCTTAATTGAGGTATTTGTCTTTTCATTGTATTGGAGCAAAGCTTTTACCATAACCGTATCAATGGACTCATTAGCATTGGGTTGGAACACCTCTCGAAATGTGTCTTCCTGGAAGGAAAGAAAAGGGGCACTAATTATAAATTCAGCTATAAATGATGGCGGAAGTTTTTGGTTCATTAACGAACAGGAAGGGAAGTATTGACGTTTTCGATATCTGCGGGAACACTGTTATGCGTCTGGAAATACGTCTCCAATTTCTTTCTGCATCCTTCCCACCATGTGCTTCCTGCGTCGTTTTCACACTGCAAAATTAGTAGCGAGAAGAGGAATATACAGTAGTGCGTGGCCATTTTTGCAACTTCCAATGTGTTGTTGGTGTTAAAAATTGTATAATGAAGCATTCTAGTTGAGGAGATGAAAAGGCGATTGTATTTCCGACAGGGACTTGTGCATATTCATGCATGATTGATGACTTTTTCTCCTGAGATATGAAAATATGTCGCATTTCAGTGCTCTAGAACGAAGGTTCTCATGATGTTCCACTCCAAACTCAGTCTCCCAGGGGAAAAGTAACCCCACGAGNAAAAGTAACCCCACGATTCAGTCGACTATATTTGGTCCAAATTGTGCTCGAAAAGAGATTTCTGGGATCAAGTGAAAGATGGGACTAAGTTTCAACAGATTTCCACTCCCTTTTCCTGTGTGTAACCAAATTTTCTTGATTCTAGAATATAATTCTGTGGAGTCACTGCGCGAATATCTTGTAAAATACTCGCAGGGTAGTCATCGAAGTCCTTAAGAGTGGAGTTTCAATTCTAAAAATACCCAGCATTACAGCATATTTGAATTTCTGTATGATTTACTTAAATTATATTTTAAATGTAACTTTTCAAGAGAAAGGAACCATCACTCTCTTATGGATAGTCCAGTATGATGGAGCCATTGGCCCACTCATGTGGCATTAGAGTATTTCAATTTTTTGGCTCAAAGTTATTTTATTCCAAAGAGCGGAATGGGCAAACTGCAGTTAAAATTAAATCCTTGCAGCTTTCCATTACCTATTTAAGTAATCCAGAAAGGCCAGTTGGATTCCATGACAGTGTATTGATCCTCAATATCCTCATAATAGAAGTGTAACAGCTGTGCACTTTAATTTACTGTGCATATCACATTCAAAATGCCCTCATCAGGAATATTAATATCTGGATTTCAGAATGTCATTATTATCTAACCCTGTTTTCTTAGTTTTGCAGTTCATAGTGACTGATATTTATAGAATATGAGTGTGAGGAACTGGAGTGATCATCTGATGAATCCTGCTTCTGGAGTAATTGCCTAAAATGGCTAAATGAATGAATCTCTTGTGTTGGAGAATTGTTCAGTTGGTTTATATTCCTCGCGAATCTCTACTAGGGATGGAGTCATTGCAAAAGCCACAGATAAAAAAAATGTTTCATATGAGAAACAAAGTTAGTAGCATGGGATTTCTTAACACCTGGGCGGGTTAGTTTGAATTTAATCTCTTAAGAATCCAATCATGCTAAAACATTGATGCCTAACAATTTTTTCACGTTTCAGGGAAGTTATCATATATTAATGCTCTCAAAGAAAATCCATGTTAGACGTGCAACCAAAGTACCTTAAATTTGACCACATGAGATGGTACGTGTCGTTTGCGAACCTTTGTGAGGAGACAGGGAATACTCACATCTTCCTGATCCTGCCGACAGCAACTTCGTGGGTAATCGCTTCGAAGATTTAAATTGGACAGCCAGTCTTCTGGACTCTCGACGCCGCAACATTTTAACTTGAAAAAAGAGAAAGTGAGGAAAATGAGATAAGCCACACGCTGATTACTTTAAAAGTACTTTCAAGGACATGTAACGTTATTCTCGCACCTTAACTTGAGCACGATCCCAAGCTAGTCTAACGGGATCGTTCTTCTTTCCATCGTACTCGAGTAGAGCCTTCATCATGACTGTAACGATGGAGTCATTGTCCTTGGCTTGGAACACCTCTCGAAATATATCATCCTAAATGGAGAGAGAAGACTGATGATTGTGTCGGCGTTGATTTTTTAATTTGACTTGGTACGGATGAATTTCATTAACAAACGGAAATCGAAGAGTTGCATGTTCCCATGGCAGCGGGAGCATGCATTTGGAAATAAGTCTTTAATTTATTTCTGCATCCTTCTCTCCACGTATTTGCTGCTTCACTTTCACAAGGCAAAATCTGTAATTAGAAGAAAAACCCGGACACCACGTCACTATCACAACTTCATTTCATTATGTTCTATTTTATGGATGCGCTTGGACAAGGAAAGGGAGTTCTTACAATTCCTCCGTGATTCAGTTGACAGCAACTTAGTGGGTATCGACCGTCGAGGTTTCTATTGGATAACCAGTCTAATGCACTCTGGACGCCACAACATTCAAACTTGAAAAAGAAAAGAAATGCCGAAGGATATCATTTACTTTCCAGGACTTTCACAGACACCAAGTCAAATTCTCTCACCTTCCTTTGTGCTTTATCCCATGCAAGCCTGACATTATCATTTGTCGTTTCATCGTACTGGAGCAGAGTTTTTATCATGAGTGTATCAATGGACTCGTTAGCATTACCTTTGAACACCTCTCGAAGTGTCTCGTCCTAAATGGAAAGAAAGTGGATGATAATCATCACATCAACGATACTTGATATTGGTTCTTCAGGACTTTTTAATGTTAATTAACGAACAGGGATGGAGTTGCTGCAGTTTCCGATTCCTGGGGTAACATTGTCAGGCGTTTGGAAATACATCTCGAATTTATTTTTGCAGCCTTCTCTCCATATATTTCCTGAGTCGCTCTCACACTGCAATACAAGTAACAAGCGGGGAAAGTAACTTCAAGGATCTTATCAATACCTCATTTGCAAAACAATATTTATGGGACCATGTAAAATACAGTGTTTTTTATTCATGGGACCAATATAAATATTTATAAACTTGGAACAAATAGAGTTAGTTGCATGAAATTTCGCATCAAGACTTTATAAACATTAGAAAGTTTTGCACTATGAATAAACATGTTCAATGTATCCACCTCTGTGCGCAATCACCGGTCGTAGAGGTGTGGTGTAATTCTGCACAACTGCCTGTAAAGCATCCCGAGAAATGGAGTAGACTTCACATTCTGTGGCCGCGTTCAAGTTTTCGAACGTGCATGGATTTAACCTAGACTCGAAGACTTTGTCCTTTAGGTATTCCCAGAGGAAATAACCACATGGATTGAGATTGGGAGGAAATGGTGGCCATATTAATCGACCGCTCGGGATATCAGGAAATCTGCTAGACAGGATGCTGGTACCGGGGTTCTCGTGCAGGAAGTCAAACACAACGTTCGCTGTGTTGCCAGGTCACGATCTCAATCTGTGTCACTATTTTCACTGGGGATACCTGAAGAACAAAATTTTCCAGTCAAGGTCAAATCCATGTACGTTTAGAGACCTGAAGGAGGCCACAGAACATGAAGTCCACTCCATTTCTCAGGATACTCTGTAGGCAGTTCTGCAGAATTACATTCGTACACCACACCCCTACGAACGGTGATTGCACGCAGAGGAGGATACATTGAACATGTTTATTCATAGAGTATAACATTCCAATGTTTATATAGTCTTGATGCGAAATTTCATGCATCTAACTCTATTTGCTCGAAGTTTATAAATATGTATATTGGTCCCATGAAAAAAAAAATCACCCTGTAGTTGAGGTTTCAAAATCCATAAAGGTAAGTCAATGCTGGAAATCATTTTAAAATAGTAAATAAATTGATTCTATATTTAAATGAGACAGATTTAATATTGCAGTTAAGTTCTTGCTCTGCTCCATACGATTGCTGATACAGTAAATATTATTACCACTATAGACTACTTAAATATTATTGCCTCTACAGACCACTTAAATATTATTACATCTACAGACTACGTACATCTCTTTCACGATTCACCCGACAGCAACTTCGTGGGTATTGACCCTGAAGATTCGCATTGTACAGCCAGTCTTCTGGACTCTCCACGCCACAACACTCAAACTGGGAAAAATAAAAAAGTAGTAAAATATCTATTAATTTTCAGCCACTTTTAAGGAAATTGATCTGCATTGTATCACCTTCCTTTGCGCACCATCCCAGGCAAGCTTAATTGAGGTATTTGTCGTTTCATCATATTGAAGCAAAGTTTTTACCATAACCGTATCAATGGACTCATTAGCATTGGGTTGGAACACCTCTCGAAACGTGTCTTCCTAAAGGGAGACAAAACGGAAACCGAATTTCAAATCAGGTATTTGCGATAATGGAAGTTTCTGGTTCAGTAACGGACAGAAAAGGAAATGCTGAAGTTTCTGATGTCTGCGGGAACATTTTCTTGCGTTTGGAAATAGATCTCCAATTTCGGTCTGCATCCTTCCCTCCATGTGCCTGCTGCGTCGATGTCACACTGAAAAATCATTAAACATGCGATAAGCCAATCTTGAGGCCATCTACTGCTTAAAAATAGAGTGCATAAAAAATCGCTCCATCCTCTTTCGGTGGGAAGCAGGACTTTCATATTCTACTCCCTTGCAAGTGGACCCGACCTAGCAGCACTTCGAAAAGAAATGGGATTCAGATTCTAACAGCTTTGTCGGAGTGAAAACATAATGGAGATGCCACACTTCATTCTTAGAGCATCGATCTATCGGTTCAGGAAGGATACGTCATTATCTACTATGATATCGATTAAATTACCAGGAAAGCATGAACTGAAAAATCTAACGAAATGTACCATGGATGTGATAACTTCCAGATGATCACGAATGAAAGACTTCGAAGGCTGGAAATTCAAATGGCTGGATGGCCTTTTACATGCTTCTTTTCAGCAAGGACATTTCTTCAACTGCTGTAGATTTCTTAAAGACATGACATCTAGTCCCTATGAAAACTGGTAGGCGAAGACCCTAATCCCAAAGCTTCAAGCCGTTAAAGAGAAACATGCAATCGCCATGGACGGCACAAGTTTTCATTCAGGACTGATGTTCAAAATCCCGACCACGGCGAGAAGGAAGGACGACATCCAGGCCTTCATTGCAGCAGCTCCACATAGATATACCTGAAATTTCAATAATGAAAATGGCACTCCGAGATATTACCAATGAGAACATGAAGAAGGTGATATGGGTGGATGGACATGACTAAATTTTTGGATGGACATATCGATAAATAGAAGCTTATATGCATCGGACATCCCAGAAGGCATTACCGCTGCATAACCACTGCATCTTCCTACTCTTCCTATCACAATGGATCCCGTTATTACGGGCCAAGAGAAGGTAGTAGCGCCCTCGCTATCGCTCTGGTTTGAGGACCTCCACGGCTGCACATCGGGCTGCCAGAGCCGATGTGTCGAAGACTGTTGAGGCCATCTAAACCCCCACATCTAGCAAAATGGAGCACTGAGGGGCTCATGCTGGAACCGAAGGGAGAACGGGTGGGACTAGTACCCAACATCTGAGTGAACTGTCGGGCAAGAAGAAAACCACCTAAGCCGGTGAGATTCGAACCGAGTCCTGAGCGAGGCTGAGCCCATATCCACGAAGCAAGGCGACACCTTCCAGTACATTCTCAATAAACTTTAGGAAATTGGGCAGTACCAAAACTTTTTCGGGCTGTAGTGAATACTCACATCGTCCTGATCCTGCCGACAGCAACTTCGCGGATATCGACCCTGAAGGTTTGCATTGGACAGCCAGTCTTCTGAACTCTCCACACCACAACACTCAAACTTGAGAAAGGGAAAGGAGGGAAATTCCTACAATGACATATACCGATTACTTTCCCAGAACTTCCAATGAAATTAAGCCGCGTTCTCACCTTCATTTGAGCGTGATCCCAGGCAAGTCTGACGGAATCGTTCGACGTTTCATCGTAGTCAAGCAGAGCAGTTATCATGAGCGTAACAATGGATTCAATATCCTTGGGTTGGAACACCCCACGAATTATCTCATCCTGATTGGAGAAAAGAGAAACACTAACTTTAATCTCAGTCCTTAAATCTTCATGGACCTGAAGAGGTTAGCGGTTCCTTGACGAACAGAAAGGGAAGAGTTGCAGATTCGCATGCCAACGGAAGCATGCATTGCCAAATAAATACTTAATTTATTTCTGCATCCTTCTCTCCACGTGTTTGCTGCATCGTTTTCGCACGGCAAAATCTGTCAGCAGAAGAAAAACCCGGACACCAGTTCAACATCACGAGTTCATTGCATTACTTTCTATTTCGTTGATGCGCTTGCCCAGCGAAGGGGAGTTCTCACATTTCCTCCGTGATTCGGTCGACAGCAACTTAGTGGGTATCGACCGCCGAGGTAGCTATTAGATAGCCAGTCTAATGCACTCTGGACGCCACAGCATTCAAACTTGAAAAGGAAAGAAATGCAAAATATCAATTACTTTCCAGGACTTTCACAGACACCAAGCCAGATTCTCTCACCTTCCTTTGTGCTTTATCCCATGCAAGCCTGACATTATCATTTGTCGTTTCATCATACTCAAGCAGAGTTTTTATCATAAGGGTATCAATGGACTCGTTAGCATTGCCTTGGAACACCTCTCGAAGTGTCTCATCCTAAATGGAAAGAAAGTGGATGATCATCATCACGTCAACGATAACTGATATTGGGTGTTTAGAGTTTGCGGTTCATTAACGAACAGGAATAGGGTCGTTGCAGTTTCCGATTCGGTCGGGAACATTGCCAGGCGTTTGGAAATACATTTCAAATTTCTCTTTGCAGCCTTCTCTCCAAATATTTCCTGCGTCGCTCTCACACTGCAAGTCAAATAACAAGCAAGGAAAGTAACTTCAAGGTTTTAATCACCACCAGGTTTGCACAACAATATTCATGCAGTCTTATCAGACAGTTGAGGTTTCAAAATCCTTGAAATTTAGTCAATGCTGGAATCATTGTAAAAGTGTAGGTATATTGATTCTACAGTACAGTATATTGAGGTGAGACAGGTTCAATTTGAAGTTCTTACTCTGCTCCATTTGATGCTAAAGGGGTATATGTTCTTTGAAACTACTCACATCTCTTTCACGATTCACCCGACAGCAACTTCGTGGGTATTGACCCTGAAGATTTGCATTGTACAGCCAGTCTTCTGGACTCTCCACGCCACAACACTCAAACTTGAAGAAAAAGAAAATTAAAAAGGAGGAAAATGATAATGACAAATATCTATCAATTTTCGGTTACTTTGGAGGACATTAATCCGCATTCTCTTACCTTCCTTTGTGCATCATCCCAGGCAATCTTAATTGAGATTTTTGTCGTTTCATCGTATTGGAGCAAAGCTTTCACCATAACCGTTTCAATGGACTCATCAGCATTGGGTTGGAACACCTCTCGAAACGTGTCTTCCTAAAGGGAGACAAAACGGAAACCGACTTTGAAATCAGGTATTTGTGATAATGGAAGTTTCTGGTTCAGTAACGGACAGAAAAGGAAGTGTTGAAGTTTTCGATGGTTGCAGGAACATTTTCTTGCGTTTGGAAATAGATCTCCAATTTCGGTCTGCATCCTTCCCTCCATGTACTTGCTGCGTCGATTTCACACTGAAAAAATATTAACGAAACGATAAACCATGCTGAAGACCATCACAAATGTTCAAAAAGGCTACAAAAAAATCGCTTGATCCTATTTCGTTGGGACAATAACCGTCTTTTTCGTAGACGATCTAGTCTATACGCTCAAAAAAAAGTTTTTCTGTCGAAGTTGAAGGGAATAGGTGGCATCGGCAATAGCATGTGGGCATCGACAAAGGTTCCGAGCAGGTTGCATATGACGAATTTAAAAAATAAAATTCATTACCACATGTGCCATATTAACGTAGTGCATAATATGATGGGATGGCGGGGTGATTAGAAGAAGAGCTCCAAGTCTCCATTTCTTCACTATTCCAACTTCTTTGACTTGCCGCGTTACCAAGCATGGGAAAACGCCCGAGAACTTCTGAGGAAGATTTTCCCTTGGGTCTCGATGGAGAGTGAGGATTTTGCCTACGCTGTTTGCACGGACAAGTCTTTTCCTTTTCCAGATGGGGTTCAAGGAACGATCGTATTTAACGATTCTCAAAAAATTCCTTTTCGCTCTGTGAAATGGACGGAGAAAAGCAGAAAACCACCGAAGAAAAAAATGCATGTCGACAGGTAACGGACTCAGTTACCATTCCTGTTTGGCGCAAGAACGTTGTGTCAACACTGAGAAAAGTTTGGAACGCTGAGACTTTGGTTGAAGTCGAGAATTCGACGAAGAAGCAACATGAATTATATGCTGGCTATTTGTAATTACCCGAATTTCCAGCATATGGCGACTACTTGTGGATTAGCGAAGTCGTTCAGGGGCCATTCAGCACAAATTCTTTTAGATTATAGTTACACTGTTGATTCAACGCGGAGCTACCCACATCATATCAACAGAAAGTAGGTTCCACGAATGGACGCGATACAGCGCCTAACCGCCGATTCAGCTATTCTTACCCTGGTGCCCTGAAATAAATATTACCCTGTATTTTTCACACCTTACCCAATCCTTTCCCATGTACAACTTAAGGGAACTCTTAGGAATTTCTCGATGGACCTATTTAAGGAGGCAACCCTGCAGAAAGAGACTGAAAGTACTAATGAGACACCCTCAATTTCCCCAAATCTCCAAATGGAACAGTCACTTATTCCGGCTCTCGGTCTCATCGCCTCTTCGAGATTAACGCTCTTTCAGACGCTGGATGAGGGAGGAGCTACTGTAAATGCCCAAACTTTGACAATTCAACGTTGACACAACGTTGCACAGCAGCAACTCTTCAACGTTGAACTGTATTCCATTTCAAAAACGTTTCAACATTCGGGCTACATGTTAAGTTTAAAAATTAGCCTTTGCTTAACGTTGATTCAACGTTATTGTGCCGAATGGGATATTTTATTCGCATAGCTAGAGATGGACTGAAAACACCATAGTTGAAAGGTCGCAGGAAACTTGGTTTTCATCAGATTCATGTATTAATTTATTTTATTATTTATCGAATGCCTATGTGAACGAAGTATTGCCACGAATTGAAATGGGGTGGTTGATACTTCTCTGGGCTAAGACCGTCCATCATCGCCAGGGCCCGTGTTGCTGAGGCCCTCTAAAGCGCTATATCTCACACAATGGAGCACAGAGTGGCTGCTGCTGGAACCGAGGGGAGAAGCAGGTGGACCGAGTAACCGAGTACCCGACAGGAGCTGGGGTGAACTGTCGGCCCAGAGGAATACCGCCTGCGGTTAGCGAGATTCGAACCAAGGACCTCAGCGAGGCCGAGGCCCTATCCACTGAGGAAGGCGACGTCGTCCGGTACGTTCTCGATAAACTTAAGGAAATTCGGCAGTAATAAAGCGTTTTCCGGCTGTAGTGAATACTCACATCTTCCTGATCCTGCCGACAGCAACTTCGTGGATATCGACCCTGAAGATTTGCGTTGGACAGCCAGTCTTCTGAACTCTCCACGCCACAACACTCAAACTTGAGAAAGGGAAAGGAGGGAAATTGATAAAAAGACATACCAATTACTTTCCCAGAATAATAACTTCGAATGAAATTAAGCCGCGTTCTCACTTTCCTCTGAGCATGATCCCAGGCAAGTCTGGCGGTATCGTTCGACGTTTCATCATAGTCAAGCAGAGCTGTAATCATGAGCGTCTCAATGGAATCCTCATCCTTGGGCTGGAAAACCTCTCGAATTATCTCATCCTGAATGGAGAAGAAAAGAACACTAACAGTTAAGTCAGCGACAGGTCTTCATGCCACTGAAGAGGTTAGTGGTTCATTGACGAACGACAAGAGAAGAGTTCTGGATTCCGACGTCTGTGGGAACGTTTCCTCGCGTTTGGAAATAAATCTCATTTTTCTTCAGGCACCCTTCCCCCCACGTGTTTCCTGGGTCCCTTTCACACTGCAAAATCTGAAGCCAGAAGAGAAACCGACAAGAGTCAAGAACCACCAGTTGGTATTTCGAGTGTTTTCCTGCCTATAGAGAATACCCGCATACATCTCCTTCCTGATTCGGTCGACAGCAACTTCGTGGGAATCCACCTTGAAGATTTGCATTGGAGAGCCAGTCGCCCGGACTATTCACGCCACAACACTCAAACTTGAAAAAGGGATGTGAAGCAAAATATCATTATTTTATTAAAGGACTTTGATGGAAGTGAAGCCTCTCACCTTGTTTTGGACTTCATCCCAGGCGAGCCTGGCGGAATCGTTCGTCGTTTCATCGTACTCGAGCAGGGCCATCATCATGATCTTCTCGACGGATTCATTAGCACTTACCTTGAACACCTCTCGAAATGTATCATTCTGAAGGGAGAGAGAAAAGGCAAAATTCTCCGAGAGGCGATGATGGAAATTCGCAGGGCCTGTGTTTCATCGACGAACCGGAAGGGAAGTGTCGACGATTCTGATATCTGCCGGAACATCGTCAAGCGTCTTGAAATACGTCTCCAATTTCTTTCTGCATCCTTCCCTCCACGTGTTGTTGGTGTCACACTGCGAAGTCAGAAGCACGAAGATAAACCAAGGTAGCGAGGTCGTCATCACAGGTTCCGTTATTGTTTTAAAAGAACGCCGTTTCGTTTTCCGATGACGAAGGTGAGGCGCTCAAGCTCAAGTGGTCAAATTTTCGTCACATTCGTTGGGCTTCAGACTCCGATTTGCTTGAAAAAATTATTGCATGCTGGCAATCAAGACTTATGGAAAAATCCAAAATTTTGACTCTGGTTCTAACGGATCTCGAGACATGCGGCACCAAACTTCGCCCCCTTGAGGAAAAGTGGCCATTAGGGTTAAAGCGCTATCTTTGGTCCTATTCGAGCTAGAGACGAGTTTTTGGACTCTAAGTAAAGCTGAGACCACGTAGAATTGCATTATTAAGTGCATTTTCTGCAGCTTTTATTAGAAATTGGATTATGCAATTTCTAAAATGGTAAATATTGCAGAAATTTGCATGCAAATTATTAGCAATAAGACGCATTGTAACACCACGACCTTTTGTAAAGTTGTAGACTAAGGCAATGGCAATTTAAGAACTAAATTTCAACTTCCTACGTTTTTTGAAACAGCTTAAAATTAAATTCGAAAAGTCCAAAATTGCCTATTTTCACCAACTTTGGCGGTTCGTACTTCCTGTTTTAAACATGATATGAACTTGTAACTAGTGTCAAATGAAAACTCTCTCCAAGCACTTTCTAGTGATATATTATTCGTGTTGTTACTTTTACTTTTCATGCCTGTGTATTTTTTTGAAAATTTGAATTCTGCAAATTCCCGAACGCAAGGTATGACTGAAATTACAACGATGGGAATTATGGTTAAGAATCTGACCAATGCATTTCTCACATTTGACTCATAAACATCGCTATTTCTATTATATGCTTGCATTAAGTAATAAAATATCAATATTCAACACATTAATAAATTTCCAAACGCAACAATTTAGTCGTTATCTTTAACGCCTGCATGCATGTACATTTCAGAAGATTCAGACTTCAGAATGTAGTTGTGTTCCTTCAAAGTGTTATATGTTAACCAAGTGTAATGTCGTTGTTGCATATCTCAAATGACAGTGTTCATGCCGATGATGAATCTAAATATAAGGTCTTTCAACTTATGAACACCGACATTTGACATACGAGAGGCGGTCTAAAAGTATTTATAATTTGTTACCTTTTTCACAACCGTATATGCTTCTGAACAGCCAAACATATTCAGTGCAAGGTTTGGTATTTGTCACCATTTGTCACCTTCACTGGAAAGCGTACGTACATTTCTATTTCAGATTCGATTCATTAATACCCATGTAAATCCTTTGTGAATAATCTTGAATAAATCCTTAATAAATAAATAAAATAAATCCTTTGGTTTTCTATTGGGCACCCTGTATTTGGCGCAGAAAATGAAAGGCATGCCTTGTCGTTGTTGACCGTTTTTTTCCTATGGTTTCACTTCCCTCAAACATCTCTGAAGCTTTCTATGATCATAATAAAAGATTATAATTTAATCCCTACATCCATTCTTCTTTGAAATGTGAATTCCGATCAATATAAATCATTTCCAGGCATTTCAATCCAAAATTAAAAGGGGTGGATGATTCTAATAATGATCAGATCAGCCATTGGAATACTAAACCCAGCTCAAATTGCGTCTTTCTAATTTCTTACTGAATCGAAACTTTCGATTTTCAACTTCACAATATATACATATATATAATTTTATTTATTTGTTTATTTTATATTGATATTTATTTATTTATTTTATTTATATTTTTATTTATACATTTTATATTGATTTTTCATTATTATTTTATTTATATTTTTATTTATTTATTTTATTTTTATTTTTATTTATTTATTTTATTTATTTATTTATTTTTTTATTTTATATTGCTTTTTCATTATTGCACCTCAGCATCGACGAGACAGTGACGTAACCATGGAGCCACACGAGGAGAAGCTGGAGTCATCGCAGAGAAAAAATTGCAATATTAAATCAGCATTAAGTCTCTTGAAATGAGGCAGGTCTCAACATTGCTGCCGAATCCATGTCACGCTCCATTTCGATCGGCGGTATACCACGTGACACGACTCACATTTTCTCGATTCGGCCGACAGCAACTTCGCGGGAATCGATCCTGAAGATTTGCGTTGGAGAGCCAGTCTTCAGGGCTATTCACGCCGCAGCACTCAAACTTGAGAAAGGAAGGAAAATTTGACAATTTTTTTTTTTACAGAAAATTTTGATGGAAACGAAGCCGAAGTCCTCTGACCTTCCTCTGGGCAAGATCCCAAGCGAGCCTGACGGAGCCGTCCGCCGCCTCGTCGTACCCGATCAGCGCCTTCGCCATGAGCGCGTCGATGGACGCGCTGGCATCGCCTCGGAACACCGATCGAAGCGTCTCGTCCTGGATGGGAAGGAAAAACGTGAACGTCGACCTCGATCTCGATCTCGATGCCGCTGGGAAAAATGACACGAATCCGTAAATACGTATGAAATGCGTTTTTACGCTCTTCTCTCCTACCGAATCACTTTTCCCATTTACTTTCTAGAAGAATAATTCCCTTTTCCTCACTTCTCTCTGGGCGTGATTCCCTCGAAGCCTCGCAGGATCGCGTTCGTATTCTAGCGAGCTATTCCCCACGTCCACTTCCACGTCCAGATCCACATCCACTTCCACGTCCGGGTCCGGGTCCACGTCCACGTCCACTTCCACGTCCACGTCCATTTTGGTTTGGAGCACGTTCCCCGAGATTCTTTGCTGGATGGAGAAAATGGTCACGCCGATAGGGTACAACCTCGTAACGAAGGCCATATAATCCAAAAACTCGAAGCCACCTTTTCCGACGAAATTGCAATTTCTGCATTTTTCCTCTCGATCCCAAAAGCCAGCGATTTCAAAGCGTTCGTGAGGGGGCGAATTAATCAGCCTAATTAAATCGAAATTTTTATCTTTTAACCTATTTCTTCGATTCGACTTCGTGTCCGGTCATCGTATTCTAAAAATGCTTCATCGACGGATTCCATCATATGACCCTCATCCGCGAAGATCGCAGCTTCCAGCTTCTTCAGAGTGAAAACCATCTCCCGTCGCTTTCGGTTGCAAAAGGCCGTTAACGGACGACACGACTGGGCGACACCGCAAATTAAATTCAAATTACGATAACCTTCCGTCAATTTTCGCGTTTCGATTGATTTTTTTTTTCGAGAGGAAAGGGCGCCGACCGGAATTTGGACTCGCATTCGATCCCGACGGATCGCCGGAAATCGTCTGCGAAACCGAAACGTGTTCGCGGCCGAGACGAGAGGGGGTGGCCGTCTCGTTTCGGCTGCGCGGGTCGCATCGCCGAGGTCGGACCTCCGCTCCGTGGGTCAAAGTGGGAATACCAAGAGTGGAGATCTGTCGGGTTAATCGGGTGCATTGGGCCCGAGACGTTTTTCGCTCTCGGCGTCCGCAGGCCGCCGAGGGAGTCACGGCTCCGACGCATGTCGACCTCCCTCTTCCACTTCGTCGCGTCAAAGGGAGCCCTCCCTCTCCTCCCCTCCCCCCCATAAACCCTCCGGGCAATGCATTTACTGAGGGATTCAGACTCGAGCGCGTGCGAGTGCATGGCCAATTCGCCCTGTCGCCTTCCCTGTCGCCTTCCCTGTCGCCTTCCCTGTCGCCTTCCCTGTCGCCTTCCCTCCGGCCGGTGCGTGTCGAAGGGATTCTAAACGTGGTCGCCTCCGACGTTTTTCGAGTCCAGTTCCACACGGCGTTTATATTCGGTCTCTTGTGCCGGTGGTGCGATGCGTGTCGCCGGTAGACCAAGCGCGAAAGCCGAATATTCCCATTAGTTCATCCGACAGCGTGGTATTCGTGGCCGATCGCCTCGAAAGAATGGGTGCTTCTGCGTCTTCTCTCGATTATCTCGATCACTTCGCTCGTTATGATGTCCACCTTTTTGTTATTCCTCTTTTAATTGATTTTAAGGAAAAAAATATATATTTGAGACTTCTCCGTGGCCTTTGAACCCGAAGAAATGGAATTTTTCTTTCCTTGGGGGTTTCAAAATTCAGATGAAGACATTGAAAAAAATAGCAGATTTCAGTGGAAGCATCATTTTTCCTACCGAACCGCTGTAACTGGGGGATTTCGGAGATGACACAGTTAAGGACACAGTTAAGGACACAGTTAAGGTCACCAGGATCGAAACAGATCCGTTCTGGCGAGGGAAATTCCATCGTCTTCGGATTGAATTCCTTCCTGGAATTCCGACGCGAATGCGCAAAAATTCTGCAAGTAACACGGACTGGAATTTCCTCGAAACGGCAGGAATTTTTTTTTTTTCAAGAAAAATGGGAGAAATCCAGGTTTTTGTGTTCTTGGTCGGGAATACGATGCAGAATCGGAGAATTAAAAAAAAAATTCGAGGCGAAGGAAAATCCACTTTCTCGCTGGGAATTCGAAGAAACTCACGGCGAAGACGAGACTGGAGAGGAAGAAGAAACTTCTCGTCCATCCGTTCGTGGCAGGAACCATCTTTCAGGTGCCGGTACTTTATCGGTACTTTACAGGTACTTTGCCGGTACTTACCCTTTCTCCCTTCTCCTTCGCCGACCCAGCACGTACGGAAATGAGGAGATTCCTAAAAACCTGAAAGTTGTGAAAGATAAAAATTAACTTCGGCTCGGTAAAATCCAAGAGCTAAACGAGATGGAAGTTAATTATCTGTTAATTATCCGAACGAGGCCTCAGCCTCATTCGCTTCCGGTCCTCGCAACCGGCGAAGATTACGGACCCAAAGTTTGCACGGAAGTCCGGGTCGCCGCTCGCGTCTCGCCGCGAGCCGGAACGGAGGCCGACGGCCGGCGTTTTAACCCTTTCGGACCGGGCGTCCGAAATGGACGTTGCGTTTGCATTGCGTCCATGGCGATTTCTTGGGATTCTCGTGACTCTCTATATTACGCTGCGATGGACGCAATTAGGCACGGCTTGGTTCCATCAGGGGCCTTCTTTAACCCGTTAGCATTATATTCTTCAGTTATTTAATGAAATGTACAATTATAACATATGGTAAACTTATTTTAAAAAAATAAAAACTACATACAAAGCATGAAAATTTCAATTGCAATCACGAAAGAGCTCAAAAATGCAAAAAATATATTAATAATAATAGCGGCCTTAATTCAGGCCTGAAAGGGTTAAAAGAAACTCGCTCGTCCCAGTCACTCATCACAGCCCCGCCCCGCCCCGCCCCGCTCATCGATGTCACCCGATGCCGTGCGACCGCCGCGAGGAAGGAGGAGGAATATACCACGGCGAGAAGGAGGTCGAGGAGGCACTGAGGCCCTCGTTCGCGAAAGGGCCGAAAGGGCCGCAGGGCCCTTTCGTCGGCTCGCAAAGGAGGGGATTCAAGGACGATGTCCTTTAAGGATCCCGTTTATGGCGCTCGTGCGTGTCGGAGGAACCGGTTTCGAAGAGGATCCGTGCCATAAACCTCCTTGCGACAGGGCTTTTCCCCGAATGCCGTAACAGTCCGTCAACGGCCGACGGATGGACGTTTAACCTTGAACGAGGCACGACTTCATCCATTTAAAGAATTAAAAAATCCTACGGATCGGCGTCGCGCATGCAAGGGCAATCCATTTCGCGGCGAATCGCGACCGAACACCCCAGCGAAGCGGCTTGGCCGTCGACCTCAGCGTCCGCGATTAAATTCCCAGCGATTCTGGTGCGACTTTTATCATCATCGCGCGAATCATCACTATCGCTAATCCTTTTACCCCAGCAATTTTTTTCTTTTGTCTCATTCTTGTCCCGCACTCCCGAATCTTCTCCCATTTTCCCTAGAATTCCGTGGAAGACGAGGAAATCCCGACTCCAGCACGGTTTCAACAGGGCCTTTTCGATTCGGCCTTCATTCGCACGGACTTCGCCCAACTGTCCTTTGCGATCTCGATTATTCTCGATGTGTAGAACAATATTTGCGGAAATTTTCGAGTCATGCCCAGAATTTGACGGTAATTTGAAAGCCTCCATATCTGATCGATGAAATTGGATGCAAAAGTTTCGCCATAAGAAAGGCCATAGCAGCTAAATACAGTCTTTAAATAAAAGTCGTTGAATAGGACTTGCATGCTGGTGATTGTCAATGGTATTATATAATAATAATAAGAATTGAAATATGTAAAAGAAATATGTGTCCGTGTGGAAAACGTTTTAAGCGTTTAAAATTTCCCGATGAATATTTTCAAAATCAAATTTTCAGAATCAAAAATGTTTGCAGGGTCTTTCCTACGATTCCCGTCGCTGTCAAGTGCTTAACCGCACATCTATCTTCCGAAAATCTGTGCTTTCTTTACCGTGACCAATGGGAGTAAGTGTAACCATTGCAGTCAAGAAGTCTCGATCGTCCTATTCTCCCTTTCTTGAAGGGATTCTCAACTGTGTCGTTATAGTACTTCATATCCAAAAGAAAACGGGAGAATAGGGTTTATTTACACTCGAAGGCCGTTATTTCCTCGGAGGAGATGCCCTGCAATTATATTTGCGAATAGTACTGGAAGGGAAACGGGTAGACTTCTATCGGTAGTCTATATGGACTGGTTGGTGGTGGAGCCGTAGGTGTTGAGATTGGTACTTCACGAATTCTTCCCGAAAAGCATTAAATTCCAATGAAACTTTTTTTTTGGCTGAACGTTTCCCGAAATGGCTCCAGGTCAGCTTCCAACAGTCTTCTCGACTGTCCTGTCCTATCTGAAGCCAAAAGAAACGTTTTCCATAGAACGCCAAATATCGGTCATTCTCTGCACTCGGCACCTTTGGCTTTTGTGAAAATGGCTACCAATACTTAATAAAAAAAAACAATGTCCCTAATTTCATAGGCAGTTTTCATATATGAAGAACAAAAATGATGAGGGTTTCAAAGGAAAAAAGAATTCAATTATTTCCTGGATTTTGGTCCACAGATCCTGCTACTTTTCGGAGTAGAAGTGTACAATGGATAAGCCACACGTTCGTAATTCATAAATGATAGCCTATACTCCATTCTTAATGTGGACATTTAGTCCACATTATCAACTTAGAAATTCTAAACTTCATGAAGATTAATAGCAGATACATTGACTGTTCCGTAAATGAAGAGAGGTAGTCCACACTCGTAGAATTGTTTGGCGTCTTCGCTTCCAGTGGCTCCGGCTCTACAGTTCTTCATCTTCTCCAGAGATGGCGCCGGCAACGAGGCCTTCGGCTTTATCCTACCTTCCAGAGATCTTCTCAAGAAATGGGTTCTCGCCACCTCTGGTCTTCCTGGCGACACCACTGTGGAATTTTACACATCGTGAATTCGCCAAACTCCTCACACCCATAAACATATACTGTACTCGACAAGGGACAAGGACAAGGACTTACCCTTCAGTCGTGATCAAGTCGACGCCAACTGATGACGAAGGAGACCAAGTCGGGACTACTCTAGTTTCCTGCTTGGAACAGCTTTTATACCCTCCCTTTCCTCCTTGAATGTAGTGGTCGACCTTGACACTCCCCCTTCCCATGCAGATATCCATCTCCCCTTCTTCCGGCCTCCTTTCCACCTTCCCCCTTGCACCGATCACGAGTCCGTTGGCGAAGGAATTCCTTCCCTCTCGTCTCTCATCGTCACTTCAAAGCACGCGATGCCGATTTCCTTTCCACGACAGTCAATTTTCCCCACTTAGTGAAATGATTCGTAATTAGCTCCTCGTATTGAACGACTCCTGCCTGTTCGCCATGGAACATTGGGTTAGCCAGATCGGACGAGGAAGAATCCATTGAACTCGGCAATTTCATCCAGC